TGCCAAGCCTTGTTCCATGTCGGAGACGGTTTTCTTTACTGTATCCAGTTCAGTGCGAACCGTTGCCGTATGCTTAACGAGTTCATACTTGACTAATTGTAACTCTAACTTAATAACATTGAAGTCCTCACTGAGCACCTCTTTGAGCTCTGACTTGAGTGTAGATGAAATGTCCGCTCTGAGGGCAGCAAGAATCTCGGCCTTCAAATCCTCTGTGTCCATTTTTTCGCCGAGCTGAGGGGAGGAGCCGCTGCTCCCACTTGTTGAAGAACTCAAGCTCCTCGTCTTGGGCCTAGTGTTGTCTCTTTTGTCAGTGAATCCGCTGAACTTAAACTTTTGCAGGTTATGTGCCATTTACGTGTTAAAACAAAAATAAAAGTTGAGCAAAGTAAAGCATGTCATTCAAAGGCTGTGTTTCCTACTTCTTTTTGGGTCAAAGCGCAAAGAAACTATTAAATAAATGCAATTTCAGCAGGAGCTCGGAAAAAACGTAACCTCCTCCATGGCTTTCTCACTAGCGCCCCATTTTGGGGTGGGTGAAGGTCTGTATGGAGGAGTGGGCCAAAATCCCTGCTGAAGTGTGTGCAATCCTGTTCAAGACCTACACGAAACGTATGATCTCTGTAATTGCAAACAAAGGTTTCTGTACCAAATATTAAGTTCTGCTTTTCTGATGTATCAAATACTTATGTCATGCAATAAAATGCAAATTATTACTTAAAAATCATACAATGTGATTTTCTGGATTTTTGGATTCTGTCTCTCACAGTAGAAGTGTACCTATGATAAATATTACAGAACTCTACATGCTTTGTAAGTAGGAAAACCTGCAAAATCGGCAGTGTATCAAATACTTGTTCTCCCCACTGTAGTTGTCCAGTTGCCTGCCTCCACGTTAGGGTCGGAGTTCCCTGCCTCCACGGTAGGGTTAGAGTCCCCTTCCTCCCCGGTAGGGTCAGAATCAGAGTTCCCTGCCCCACCGGTCAGGGTAGGGTCAGAGTTCTCTACCTCCATGGTGGGGTCAGAGTTCCCATCCTTCATTGTATGGTCAGAGTTCCCTACCTTCCCGATAGGTTCAGTCTATCCTGCCCCCTTGGTAGGCTCTCAGTTTCTGTCCGTACCCGGCCTTCAGTCTCTGGCCCTATATGCATGTTCACACTGTTCTGACTTAGGTTCCCGGACTCCTACCATACTGCAAGGCCCCCAGTCCTCTGTCGTTCTAGGTCCACAGTTCCCTTCACTAGTAGCCCCTAGGTTTGCTGCTCTGCCAGGCCCTAGGTATCCTACCCAGCTAGGCCCCACATTCAATTCGCCGTCAGGTCCACAGTTTCCTGCCCTGCTCAGATCGCAGACCCCTGCCTTATTTGATAGGCATTTGCCTAGCCCGTCAGGTTTAGAGCCCCCTGCCCTGCTCGGCCCTAAGTTTGCTGCACTAGGCTTGCTGTCTCCAGACAGTCAGCCTGCATCACCCTAGCCCACCAGCCTTTGAGCCTCCTGCCCTGCTAAGCCACAAGTTACCTGTGCTGGGTTCTCAGCCCTCATCCCTCGTCTGCCCTCAGTCCCTAGCACTAGGTCCTCAGACCCTAGCCCAGGTGAGTCATCAGGCTCCTGTCCTGCTAGGCTCAAAGGTACCAGTTTCTCCAGTAAGCCCAGAGCTCTACTGCTCTCCTAGCCCTCAGTCATTCTCCCGGGTTAGGTTCAGAGTCGTTCTCCCTGTCAGGTTCAGGGTCATTCTCCCTCTCAGGTCCAGAGTCAGTTTCCCTGTCAGGTCCAGGCAGTTTCTCTGGCAGCCCCAACGTTATCAGCACTAGGCTCCCAGCCTTCAGCCGTTCCAATTTTGCTGTCTCCAGCTCTAGTCGGCCATGAGTCCACTGCTCCGTCAGGCTATAGGTTCTCTGCCTAACTAGGCCTGCAGCCTCTGACCTCAGTTGGTCCACAGCCCCCAGCCTCAGTCTGCAAACAGTCAGCCCTTCCCACATGGGAGATCACCTGACCACGTCTCTAGGGACAAACTGGCCCCTGTCTCCGGATCCCTGATGGGCCTCAGCCAGGGGTCCCTACATGCTCTACCAGGGGAGCCAGTAGTGGTGAGAGAGTCAACAACCCCAGCAGCAGCCAGTGAGTTGCCAATGATACTTGTGGCAGGCGTGCCACATTTCTCCACCGCAGTAGGCGAGCCACCGCCTCCAGCCGTGGCCAGCCTCAGGCATCGTACTCAGCGCCAACGGATGGGCCCCCAGCGACCCTGCACCAGCTGGGTCAGAAGATCCTCCACCACACATGGGGTGGTCCAGGACTGTTCCCGCCTCTCCATGCACCTCCTTCACGGGGCGGCCCCTAAGCCCCTTGCATGCACTTGAGCTGGCACCCTACTGGCCCCCATGGTTCTCTAAAGTGACACTCGCAATCAGCTGCCCTTGTAGTTCGGCCAGATGCACAGAAGGACTGAACCTCACCTTGTCTGGTCTTCCCCTCTGCCCTGCCTGTCCTGCTGGATAGGACTAGTCCCTTTCAGGACTAAGACCACATGGAGGCCTTTAAGATGTGTGGAAATCCAGGGGCGGCTGTAAAAAAGGCCATGCCTGTGCACATGACTTTCCCCACAGTCCCATTAGGGTGATTTCTCCCCTTCTCAGCTGTCTGTCACAGCCTCTTGGTTTACACCAATCAGAGTGCCCGAATGCACATTTGGACTCTGATCCCTCCCACTCCAGGTCAGAGTGGCTGTCATTGTCGCAGATGAAGACTCAAGTTTGGCTGCCGACCAAGTTATCAGTGTGTTTTAATCTAGAAGTGTTGTGCATGCATCCACAATGTACATTTGGCCTTTATATTGTTGAGGATTGTTTATGCTGATTAGGGGTAATATTTTGCTACTGATAGTGTTACATCTATAAGGTGTTGGTGCTGCCATTAGCTTATGCTAGCATTGTTTACCTGTTGTTTGGCTAAAGCATATCATCCTCAATGTACATAATTGCCAGTTACTGTAATTATTGCATAGTTGTATTTATTATTATGAGTATGTGGTGCATGTTACTATTACTGGAAGAGAGTGTGTTATATGCCAGATAAAGTTAGTATAAGATTCTAGAAGGCCTGGAGCGCTCCAGCACGCGCACTTGATTTATGGCCTATTAGATAAGATCTCTAGCTGGCTGGAGAGAGAATGCCATAAATCGTGACTGGCAGCAGTAATTAGCCTCTCTCTCCGCCAAGATGTTGACATCATATCTGTATTTGTGTGAATATGTGTCTGCAATGATATTTTATCTAGGCTATGTATCCTACAGTTCCAATTGTATAGCTGTATTATCGCTGTTAATATGTACTTATATTTTCCTTTCCTTATAGAACCACAGATCACGTCGATGTGTGTGTGTGCGCTAATGTGTGGTGGTGAACTAGAAAATACAACTCTGGATATGGACACATCTGCCTGGTTCTTGCCGGATCGCCTGTAGTGGGGTGAGCCCAAAGTAGAATCAGCATTGTCACTAGCAGGTGAGGGCACCTACAGCCAACCGCACAGATGGCTCCAGCTACCCGTTTTTACACAACCTATTCCAGACCGGTCAGCACGTTTTAAAGTTTGAATGGCGTTTCTATCTCAAACAGTGGAAGACTAGTTACGACCGGAATGTTTCCCATTCAAGTCTTTGACCATTGAAATGCATTGGGATTTATGCAAATATGGTTGAAGTGTGAAAAGTATTAGGAGCATCAAAAGTGTTTTTTTCAAGCAACCTGACCAGGACGTTTGCACGTTTTTAAGTTGTTTTGGTGTTGATAGCTTTTACGCACGCTACAGGTGGCAACGGAATAATAATACAAAGCATAAACAGTTGTGATTAGCACATCTAATTACTAGTTTATTGAACTACATGTAGTTCACTACTCCCCCAACACTGAGTACACTTTATCATTTCAAAAATTGGATAACTGACATCGCGCCTGTGCATGGCGCGGCCAGGATACACGGGGTGGGGTCATTGAGGTATAAAGATTGGGGTGGGTAGGGTAGGTTATAGTAAACGATTATAGACACAAAATGTCGCCTGGACTTACCTTTAGGAGATTCATTAATCATAAACGTCTTCAATTTGAAATATCTATTGTGAGCAGAGTAAGTCCTGGTGCGGTCTTTTGCACGCTCCGTCCAATGGACATTTGCGTCCCCTTTGGCTTTGATGAAAAGCCTATCCACTTTGGTTTCCTTTATTAACTCCAAAGTAATTATTCCAGATATACAGTCGCCTTCGGAAAATGTGTCATGTTCATTAATAACATCGTAACTCAAGTTAAACGTTTTTATTGAAGGCATTTTCGACTGCTTCACATGAACTTTTCTGAAGCTAATTTTCGCTAGCTTAGCCTACTCATAAATAGTGATGTCATTGTCGTGGGACTGTACACACGGATATACCGCAGACTATGGTACTCTACTGCCTCCCAGTGACAGCTTTGGTCAAAATTGACTTTTCGTAGCAGATTAGGATAATTAGTTTAAGGTTAGCTAAAGGGTTAGGGTTAGCGAAAATGCAACTTTTGAGGTCATATTTGACAAAAGCTGTATCCCATCTAGACATGACCAGTGTAAAACGACTGTACTGTTATCCAGTGTAGCCTAATGTGTGAATCTGAGATCATTTTTAAAATATCCATTAGGGATTAGGCTACTGTATGGGGAAAGCACTGGCCTAGGTTAGGTGTGAAGCTAACCCAACTAAAATCTCAAATTGCCCGTTTGGCACAAATTGCCATGAGGGTCATAAGAGTGAGGCAGCCAGCATCCCTCCTTGCAAACCATTTTGAGACTGTTATCAGAGGATCAGCTTCTACTGCACTCCTTCATAATACCTAAACAGCAAAGGTACAAGCTGACTTTAGCGAGATGTAGTACACCACTGACAGAATGTGTATGGACATTGTGCAATATTACTTGGGTGTACTAGTTAGTTGGGCATTGATCAGCAACAGTTGAGACGGAGTCAGAAGATCAGGTGTGTGGTATTTATTGAACAGTGCAGGTGATGAAGACTGAATCTGAACAATCACTTTACTTGGTCAATGGCAACAACAATTGCATTTAAAGCCATAGATGTTATATGTCTGGAGTCTGAACCATCTTCAATTTTGCATAGCTTCTTAGATGTAACTTTACTGATTATTGTTCTCATTTGCCGCAGTCACATAATGGATGATTTGGATTGACACATTATTATTTAAAGACAAGTCTTTGAGAGAGTATAGCTGTTCAGTTAAGGCTATGGGTTACATAACAATGGCATTACAAACCTACTACAATGTTGATTATTGCAACAGGTAGGTAGTTTTATAGCAGCACAATTTAAAAGGCCTCACATCTGTCAAAAATGAGTGTTTTATAGGGTATTAGGGTGAGATGTTTCAAGTGCAAATGGAGGGAAGAGGGAACCATATGATGGGGGTTGGTCTATCTCTTGAGAAGAGAGGGGTGGATGCGTTGTTGGGGTTGATGTATTAAATGTAGGTGGAGGAAAAACTGGGCCAGTTGGGTATGGTTGTTGTGGGTCAGGGTGATAACTTCCTCCCATGGCTGCAGGTTCAGGGTACACTGGCGGGACAGACGGATATAGGCCTCCCCCTGGACCAAAGGAAGGAGGATATGGTCCAAAGGCTGTATCAGAAGGGAAGTCACTGTTGCTTGGACCCGCTTTCCCGAATTCTTCAAACCCGAGGACAGGTCTGCCTGGTGATAGGTCAGACCGAAAGCAGGAAGGGATAATAACCAATGGAAACTTGACTTCAGGGTCTTTGGCAAGAGGAACGTCCAAGTATACCTGTAAAACAAACAGCATGTTAAAGAGAAATATTGGGAATTTATCTCCCAAAATATGTTTTTGTCTAATACTAGTCAGGAATATGAAGTGATTGTCCTGACTTTTGGATGTACCTTTAGTATGTACTCTACTGTTATGATGTTACAGTTCAGGATGGTCAAGTCCTGGTCAGCGGGTATCTTCAATGACCCGGCAACACTTTGTCGGGTTTTGGATGGGATAGGCTCCCTGACCACTTTGCAGACTGTTTCTTCTTCTACCTTTGTGCAGTCAGAAGCCATGAAAGTCATTTTCTGCTTCAGACTGAATTTGGGCTTAAGGTCACGGGAGGAGTTGTTCTCAATGTTTGCACAGATATTCACCGTCTCACCTGTCGTGGGAAAATCCACCCAGAAAATAAAAGGGGAAGTTCAGGATTTTACAACTTGATTTTAGGTGGTTCTTCACCCTGAAAGGAGTCTATGGGCCTGGAAAAACTATAATCCATGGTTCGGTTTTCTCTAAACAGTCCCACTACTAACTTCAGATAACTTTAACCACCTCTAGCTAATTTTGTAGTGGCTGTTAAAATGAAACCAAACCATGGATTACAGTTTCTCCTGGCCCATAGACTTTCAGGGTTGGGACCAATCTAACATCAAGTTGTAAAATCCTGAACTTCCCCTTTAAAGACAATCTGAGATTCCAAATGACCAACACAATAGTGCTTCAGCACAGGTGAGTTACTGAATGTTGAAGATATTAATCTATCTTGACAAAGCCTTGCAAGTGAAAGTTGATTGTATATTTAGGACACTTCTTGGAGGTAGTGTGGATTTGCTATGCTCTTATCCAGTGAGATTGTGAACTAAACTGTTGAATTGGCAATTTTATTCAACAGAAAATAGGTGCCAAAAGGCAACATGCTTTATGTTACACAGAGGGCTCTGAAACAACACTTGTACATTACCTGGCATGTAACCCATCCTTTCAACGTGGACATCCATGATGACATGTCCTGAGGTAAGACAACCCATTGACTTGTCCTTCACACCATGCTGAGGAGACTGGAAAGCAGGATGAGATTACATTATTTACATTTTAGTCATTTAGCAGACACTCTTATCCAGAGCGACTTACAGTTAGTGAGTGCATACATTATTTTTTTATTTTTCATACTGGCCCCCCGTGGGAATTGAACCCACAACCCTAGCGTTGCAAACGCCATGCTCTACCAACTGAGCTACATCCCTGCCGGCCATTCCCTCCCCTACCCTGGACGACGATGGGCCAATTGTGCGCCGCCCCATGGCTATACTAGTATGACACAAGGAAAACAAACCGGGATCTGTACATCCATTCATCCACTTTCACACATACAGTATGTGATGAATAACACCATCATCCATCCATCCACATTCACATATATGTGATGAATAACAAAAGGACTAGATTAGTAGAGTTAACACACCATTAGTAGGCTATGGTTCAAGTCAGCCTTGGAGACAAAGGTGATTTCCTTCTCTAAGTCGCGTGTCTTTAGCCAACCCCTGACCAGCTTGGCTTCCAGTTTGTACACTATCTTCCCATGAGGACCCTCGAAGGATGATGGCATGCTTCTGTAATATAAAAACAGTGACACATACCTTAAGCTGCTGAATCTATGTAATCAACAGGCATAACTTGTACATGGAGGTTGATTTAAAAGACAGCATAGAATTTTTCTGTATGAATTTGACTTGCTTTCCCACTTACCCTTCAGGAATTTGGAGGCTAAATGGATAGATATGGATACCAGGGGGGAGTATGTTGCCTATGACAAAAATCGCAGGGGTCAACATAATATCCAATTAGTAATTTACCATAATGAACCCATTAAAAAAAATCGAGATCTGGCTAACATCGACCAATCGCCTGGTTCAAATAGAAAAACAGCTGCGTGACTCTACATTTTAGATACGTAGCCAACAGATCCCGCTCACCCAACACGCTGGGCAAGCTACGCACCTGAAAGAGCGCGATAAATATTGCGCGGCGCATGGCCAAACTATGGTTGGGGTTACGGATAGGTTAGGCCTGTAGTTAACTGAGTAAAGACCATTCCTCCTACCTTGAGGATTTTCATTAATCATTATTTTCTTCAGTTTGAAATATCTGTTGTGAGCAGAGTAAGTGTTGTCATCATTGTCAACACTCCAATTGACATTTGCGTCCCCTTTGACTTTGATGAAAAGGCTTTCCACTTTGGTTTCCTTTATTAACTCCAAAGTAATTCTTCCAGATATACAGTCGCCTTCGGAAAATGTATCATGTTCATTAATTATATCGTAACTCAAGTTAAACTCTTTTATTGAAGGCATTTTCGACAGCTTTCCTGAAGTTAATTCCGCTGAGTAGGGCTACTGTAATGACAGAAAGAGAAAAATTGTTCCGCTGGTTCAACCGTCTTTAGTAGTGTTGCCCAACTTCTCAGTAAGGAAAGTAGCTATTGGCTGTCCTAAAAGTCGCTAATTTGCATAATTGGCCATGTGCATGTAATTGTGATGGACGCTGTAGGAGAGAGGAATAAGGTCGTGGGAGAGACAAAAAGTGAGGAAAAAACACCCAACATTTACATCCCAGAGTCGCTAAATTGGCAACACTGAGCCTACGGTGTGTCAGGAGGGACAAACTGGGAATATTTCAACGCAGACCATGGTACACCACTGCCTCCCAGTGTACTAATGACTCTACTGCTACCCAGTCTGTGAATCTGAGATGATCACTATTTATCATTAATAAAGTCTGGACTCTGGAGTATCCGGGACAAGCACTGGCCTAGGTATATAATGTTAGGGGCTAACCACTTTCCCTATGACTATTTACTCTGTTCTTTAGCTTCTGGCAAAGGGCTAAAGTAGAGAGGCTATCTAGATTATATTTCTATGGGGCTATACGCATACACACACTTACACACTTACACACTTTTAGACAGTCGAAGCAAGCACACACATTTTCTTAAAAAGTGACATTTTCTAGTTTTATGAGGCAAACTAGTAATTATTGCGAGCCAACATGTGAGAGCAAATGTAGGCTATTTGTTTAGTAAATGTATTACTTACATGGCTTCGCATAGTTTCAGTAAAATTATAAACAATCACAATGGATAAACAATAATGTGACAACATGTTTCTACATAGTGGATTAATTCATGAATTACATCACATCTCAGCTTTTGCAGACTGTAGGCTTATTCTTGGTTGGATAGATTGTATCCCTGCTTTAAGGAGAGAGGGCGCCTTGGTCATGTCCAGTCTTTATTAGGATTAATGAACAGCTTGACATTTTTAGTCCTCTCTCTGAATCTATAAGTTTAATACTCATGAGGGCCAATGGGGATCCAAGTCGGCTGTACACATATTGTGGCCACGGGGCGCATGTTAAATGTCCAAGTGGTAATCAATGCAGAGAAATTAGCTATTGATCTCTTATAGTTTTGTAATAGGTTATTGGTTTGCTCTTTCAGAAAATTCCAATATTCGTTGGGTGAGTGTGAAGGCAATATTGCTATAGGGGGAAGTGGAGTTGTGTGTGTGTGTGTGTGTGTGTGTGTGTGTGTGTGTTAGCTGAGCAGTCAGGGTAACCCTCTAATTAGTACAGAGGGCAGATTCAAAATAAACATGTTGCGAGGAATATCGGTGATTCGCATCACATCCACAGTCCATTAGAAACCGGGGTGGAGCTTGGGGGATCATTATTGGCTTGTTGATTTGTTTCATATGAGCTATATTCTCTCTGTGAAACCAACACATACAGTGTATAACAGCATAATAACAACTATTTCACTATTTTAAGATCATATTCAAGACAGTTACAACAGCACAGCATGTGTGCAGTGAAGTGATTTTGTAAAATATCATCATGAAGTTGTATTTTTACGAGAGCCTTTGTAAGAAAGAGACCTAGCACTCAGTCTTGTAAGTAATAGATGCCACGTGGAATTCAAGTGTACCGTTTTTATTTTCTTGTAACGCTCTTGCCGGAACTTGTACAAAAAGGTTTAAAATTGAATAATTGTAGCCCAAAAAGCTAAGATAAATAGACTGCTGCGTTAAATAATCAAAACAATAACTCTGCAAAACCCTAAGGTAACAAAAGCCCAGAAAGGTTATCTCACCAGATAGTGAGAATTAATTAACACCGGCCTGTGGGTTAGATGCAGCCACACTGCCCTATTCTGAATCTCATTCTGAATAAATCTCTCCCCATATACAGTGCCTTCAGAAAGTATTCATACCGCTTGACTTATTCCACATTTTGTTGTGTTACAGCTTGAATTTCAAAATTCTTCAAGCTCTGTCAAATTGGTTGTTGATCATTGCTAGACAACCATTTTCAGGTCTTGCCATAGATTTTCAAGTAGATTTAAGTCCAAATTGTAACTCGGCCACTCAGGAACATTCACTGTCTTCTTGGTAAGCAACTCCAGTGTAGATTTGGCCTTGTGTTTTAGGTTATTGTCATGCTGAAAGGTTTTATGCGCATTTATGAGCGCATCGGATGCAGATTAGGGGAGACGTGGACTATACTTGGGATAAAGGCTTCTGAATATAGACTATTCAAGTCGCAGTTGGAGCGGCTATTGCGCTGTTTCTCCCGCAAGACCAAAGCGAAAGTAATATGAAGATTGGGACACACAAGTGATGCTTTATAATAATCATACATTGATTTAATTAGAACATTTTTATCCAATAAACAAATGACTTGCATGGACACGTGGTTTTGTTTAGGAATTTTAGTTTGTTTGACATATGGAAATGTTAAACCAACCGGACCAAACGAAAATAATACAATGTAACAAATAGTCAAAACTATGTGTGAAAACGCCCTAAGACAACTTCAAGATGCAAGTTAATGGTCATGTTTAGACAATGTAATAATAATGATAATAATAATAATTAGACAGTGTAATAATGTATTTTGAACAGTAGTAAATATGTATATAGAATTTCATTTAGTCCTGCTGATATGATGTATTTAAGATGTTTTACATTTTGACAAAATAAACAAAACAATAAGAAACAAAACAATGCCGGGTGCTTGTGGCCTGCTAGATCTCGCAAACACTAGGTGGCATTCTGCCTTCTCCCTACAGTTTTCAGCGGTTAGCTTCACACACTACTGGATCATGTAAACTTCAATGCTGATGCTGTGTTTTAACATTTAGAAACAGCAATAATCATCAGTTGCAATAATCATCAGTTGCGATAAGATGGCCCGTATCTTTGATCAGCGAGAAAGAATCCTTCAAATAAAAAAGATACACATACTGTAGCAGTTTTGCACAGATCTATACAGCTATGGGTGCCTCCATCTGATGAAACTACACTTCCGCTACACTTCCAGAGTTACGCTTACACACAGGTGTTCAGAGCATGCTAGATAGCTAATTAGCACAGGTGGTCGCTTCTGTCTTCCGTCTGTTTTCCATAAACAAGCGCTGTAACATGGAGATATGGCCGTGCGGGAACATTATAAAGGTGTGTATCATAACTATATATATATATATATATATATTTCTCGCTGATATGAAAGATAAGGTCCTTATGCTTCCAAAAGCGTACCGCAAGCGATGCCTGCTAATGTTCAGACTGAGCATCGGGGCTCTTAAACTCCCCCATACAGAAGACGCCTTCTCCAATGACTCTTATGTGTATGTAATGGAACTGAGAGTCATGATCAAGGGCTAGGCCACCACTAAATGATTAACATTTCCACCTGCAATGGCGCCAAATGTCAATAACATAGCGCACCAGTACTAGCAAAGGAATATAAATGCCTTTGAGTAAAACATTTTTGAGTAAAAATAGAGCACAATGCTACTAATCAGCATTTTGCAGCTAATTAGCATTTTTAGCGAGACTAGTTGGCTGTTGTGGTGCGTACAACTTCCTGAATTGCAGTTGGTTCTACTGCACGAGGTTGACAATATTAGCCATGGAAAACGTGTCAGTTCCATGTAACTGATGATTTTTGGATTATGATAAGGTGAGAAGTCATGAGTCAATGGAATGTGTAGGTAGTTAGCTTGATGTGAAATGTCTAGTCAGTGGAGAAGCGGTGCTTCACAACCTTTCAAAACTTCCACATTCCTCATACTCTAATTTGTCAAATATACACTACATGACCAAAAGTATATGGACACCTGCTTGTCGAACATCTAATTCCCAAATTATGGGCATTAATATGGAGTTGGTCCCCCCTTTGCTGCTATAACAGCCTCCACTCTTCTGAGAAGGCTTTTCACTAGATGTTGGAACATTGCTGCGGGGACTTGCTTCCATTCTGCCACAAGCATTATTGAGGTCAGGCACTGATGTTTGGCAATTAGGCCTGGCTCGCAGTTGGTGTTCCAATTCATCCCAAAGGTGTTCGATGGGGTTGAGGTCAGGGCTCTGTGCAGACCAGTCAAGTTCTTCCACACCGATCTCGATAAACCATTTCTGTATGGACCTCGCTTTGTCATGCTGAAACAGGAAAGACCCTTCCCCAAACTGTTGCCAGAAAGTTGGAAGCACAGAATCGTCAAGAATGTAATTGTATGCTGTTTCATTAAGATTTCCCTTCACTGGAGCTAAGGGGCCTAGCCCGAACCATGAAAACAGCCCCAGACCATTATTCCTCCTCCACCAAACTTTACAGTTGGCACTATGCATTGGGGCAGGTAGCGTTCTCCTGGCATCCGCCAAACCCAGATTTGTCCGTCAGACTGCCAGATGGTGAAGCTGGATTCATCACTCTAGAGAATGCGTTTCCACTGCTCCAGAGTCCAATGGCGGCAAGCTTTACACCACTCCAGCCGACGCTTGGCATTGCGCATGGTGAACTTAGGCTTGTGTGCGGCTGCTCGGCCATGGAAACCCATTTCATGAAGCCCCCGACAAACAGTTATTGTGCTGACATTATTTCCAGAGGCAGTTTGGAACTCGGTAGTGAGTGTTGCAACCGAGGACAGGCGATTTTTACGCACTACGCGCATCAACACTCGGCGGTCCCGTTCTGTGAGAGGAAGCCCACCTGGAGTAGTTCAGGGCAGGCAGACTGAAGCCCCTGGGCTTTTGTTTGTTTGTAACCTACAGGTTATCATAGGTATAGGTAGGCCTATTGGGTTCATAGGGTGCATGGGTAATCAACTTGGCTCCCTTAGATGTGTATACACTTGCTCTGGTATGCTTTGATAAAAGCGTCTCTCCAATTCCTGTCCGGAAGATCAAATGCATGATGATCGTACACATCCACCTTCCTCGCTGGACACTAATCCCCCTGGCTTTACAGTGTTTAGTGGAGAATCAACCAGGAAGACGTGATCAGAGGACATGTTACCAAGCGAGCCCATAGGATCCTTTAGTAGGTTTATGGCAGTGGGGGACATTGTCTAGTGGCACAGTACCAGCGATATATAGGGTTTATGGCAGTGGGGGACCTTGTCTAGTGGCACAGTACCA